TAAATATCTGTCGTGCTTCGGCTTCGCAGGATTATGGAGAAAGCAAGGGAGTACCAGAAAAACATCTATTTCTGCTTCATTGTTTACGCTAAAGCCTTTGACTGTGTGGATCACAACAAACTATGGCAAGTCCTTAAAGAGATGGGAGTACCAGACCACCTCACATGTCTCTTGAGAAGCCTGTATAAGGGCCAAGAAGAGACAGTTAGAACCAGATATGGAACTGATTTGTTTAGCATAATTTATATGCAGAGTACATCATGCGAAATGCCGGCCTGGATGAATCACAAGCCAGAATTAAGATTGCTGGGAAAAACATCAACAACCTCAGATATACAGACGATACCACTCTAATTGTTGGAAAGGGGAAAGGACCTAAAGAGCCTCTTGCTAAAGGTGAAAGAGGAGAGTGCAAAAGTTGGCTTCAAACTCAACATCAAAAAAACTAAGATCATGGCATCCAATGCTCCCTCTAAGCTGTGGAGTCTTGTGAGCAAAAATTCTACTTTGTGAGCTCCTGGCATTAAAGTTGTGAGCAAGTGATTTGGCTACTGCATACATTAGTTTGCTCTGGAGCCATCCTTCCTGAGCTAAGACAAAAATGTGTGAGCCAGAGGCTAAAATGTTGTGAGCTAGCTCACACTAACTCAGCTTAGAGGAAACACTGATGGCATCCAGCCCCATCACTCCTTGGCAAATAGAAGGGGAAGTCGTGGAAGCAGTGACAAACTTCACATGCCTGGGATCCAAGATCACTGCAGACAGTGACTGCAGCCATGAAATTAAAAGATGCCTGCTCCATGGGAGGAAAGCGATGGCAAACCTAGACAGCATAATAAAAAGTAGAGACATCACCCTGCCAACAAAAGTCCGTATTGTCAAAGCAATGGTATTCCCAGTAATAATGTATGGCTGTGAGAGTTGGACTATAAGGACGGCCGAGCACCAAAGAATAGATTCTTTTGAATTATGGTGCTGGAGAAGACTCTTGAGAGTCTGGACTGCAAGGAGATCAAATCAGTCAATCCTAAAAGAAATCAATCCTGACTGTTCCCTGGAAGGCCAGATACTGAAGCTGAAGCTCAAATACTTTGGCCACCAGGGGTCATTTCCTGCAGGAGCACACAGGAGCAGAGCTCCAGCAGTAAAGAGCCCAGGGGGTGGGCACATGCAAAAAGCCCCACCCCCTGCTCCCAGCAGCCCTGGGCCATGAGGAGCAAGAAGCAGCCAGGTAAGTTGCAGTGGGTGTTGCCTTCTGACACACTTCTGGTGATGTCAGGGTGTGTGGCATATGCAAATAAGTTATGCTAATGAGCTCCTGCACCTCTTTTTCTACGAAATGACCCCTGTTGGCCACCAAACGAGAAGGGAGCACTCACTGGAGAAGACCCTGATGCTGGGAAAGATTGAAGGTAAAAGAGGAAGGGGACGGCAAAGGATGAGATGGTTAGACAGTGTGTCATGATCTGTGCAGGACTGGGAGCAAGGCCTAGTGCGGCCTGGTCCCAGGAGAGACCAGCATGGGAGTAGAGAGCAGACAGCCTACAATCCCCATAATGCTCAGACTCGACTGAGCATCTGAACAACAACAACAAAAGTGTCATTGTAATTATTTCATTTTTGGTGTTTGTGTTTCTTTAAATGTTTAGTTTGACTGCAGTAATGTAAGGAGAGTGATAGAGGGAGACAAGTGTGATGTGATTGGCTGATGACTGAGAGTGTGGGAGGAGAGATGTCTATGAGGTGGTTCGGTGTTCATGAAGAGATGAGTGTGGAGAGTTTGTTTGAGAGTCTGTATGACAGAGGAAGCAGTTGGAGTTTAGTTTAGCCTGTGTGGCTATGAGAGAGAAAGTTCAGCCTGTGTGGCTATATGAGCAAGAGAGTTCAGCCTGTGTGGCTATATGAGCAAGAGAGTAGCCTGTGTGGCTATATATGAGCAAGAGAGTTCAGCCTGTGTGGCTATATATGAGAGAGAGATAAGCCTGTCAGAGTGGAGTTTTGGTATATGAGAGACTGTGTGTGACGCCAAGTAATATTTTCTTTTTTCTACAACAGTTCAAAAATACCCAGAAACCTATTTTGTTCTTTTATAAATAAATCATTATTTGTTTAAACTTATCCCAGAAATCTGAACAGTCCTTCCTCAGGGCCACATAATCCTCTGAAGCGCCAAGACACTGGGTCATTCTACCAAAATAGAGAGATTTGGATTTTTTAATTCCTGGTGGCAGCAGAAATCTACTAAATTCTTGTACACAGAGTGTGTTTTAAAGGAGAAACAATCTCCCCAATAAGCAGGACGCCACAGTCATGCTTGAGGTTGGGATGCGTACCTGAGAGAGTTAACTTTGCTCTGCTGGAATTGCTTACACACATCCTGCTGGACTGTGAGCCTAAACTGGCCTGGGATGTTACGAGAACTTCAACCAACTTTTGCTTCCAAAAATGATGGACTAGAGCGCTGCAGGCAGAGAACCTGAAAACCATGCCATAAAAGTCAGCTTTGCTTTTTCCACGCTTGCTCCTTGCCTGCGACCCTTTTAAAATAAAATCTAGGAAAAGGACTGATTGCTCTGAGCTCACTTGTATTTTCTGATGGAGAGTTCATTCACATTAGAATTCTTCCGCTTTTCTGGTGAATGAAGAATGGCCTGTTTAAGTAACTGGGAGACTAGCGATAGACCCGTTGCTCCCTATGCCTCTGGGATGGAGGGGGTCTGCCCCTTTCACTGCCTCCAAATGCAGCCGTGGGCCTCCGCAAAGCCAGGAAAGTACTTATAGAATCATAGAGTTGGAAGGGGCCATACAGACCATCTAGTCCAACCCCCTGCCCAATATGCAGGACCAGCCTAAAGCATCTCTGACAACTATTCGTCCAGCCTCTTCTTGAAAGCTGTCAGTGAAGGGGAGCTAACCACCTCCTTAGGCAGCTGATTCCACCTTTGAACTACTCTGACCATGCTGCCAATTGGAACAGCTCCTTGTCCTCCTCCAAATGACAGCCTTTCAAATATTTAAAGAGAGCAATCATGTCCCCCCTCAATCTCTTCTCCAAACTAAACATTCCCAAGGCCCTTAGCCTTTCCTCATAGGGCTTAGTCTCCAGACCCCTGATCATCCTCGTCGCTCTCTTCTGCACGCTCTTGATTTTGTCCACATCCTTTAAAATTTTTATTTATTTATTTATATTTGGATTTATATCCCGCCCTACCCTGAAGGCTCAGGGCGGCTGAAGCCTCCAGAACTGCACACAGTACTCAAGATGCGCCTGACCAAGGCAGTATACAGAGGGGCTATGACCTGCGATTTCAATGCTATGGCCCTTTTAATACAACTCAAGACTGAATTTGACTTTTTTGCCACTGCATCACACTGACTGCTCATATTTAGTTTACAGTCCACTCTTACCCCAAGATCTCTTTTGCATACACTACTCCACAGAAACATATCCCCCATCCAGTATTTGTGCTTGACATTTTTGTGGCCTAGATGTAATACTGTGCATCTATCTTTGTTGAATTGCATCCTGTTTGCAACTGACCACTTCTCCAGAGTATTCAGGTCTTGTTGAATTTTAACTCTATCTTCTTGGGTATTTGCTACTCCTCCCAATTTGGTATCATCACCAAATTTAATGAATAGCCCTTCTACCCCTTTATCCAGATCATTGATAAAGGTATTGAAAAGTACCGGGCCCAAAACCGAGCCCTGCGGCACCCCGCTGGACACCTCCCTCCAATCTGATGAAACGCCATTGACCACCACTCTTTGGGTGCGGTCCTCTAACCAGTTCCCTATCCACCGATCCAGTTTCCCTATCCAGTCCACAGTCTTCCAGTTTGCCTGTTAGAATGTCATGGGGAACCTTATCAAAAGCTTTGCTGAAATCCAGGTAAATCACATCAACAGAGTTCCCACGATCCAGCTTTCCTTCCTTCGGCGTCTGTTCTCTTTATTATTTTTTTTAATTTTAAACTTTATTGAACAATTCAACAATAACACAAAAACGAGAAGACTGTAACAGTATTAAAATGGTGGATTTGTTGTACGCAGTTTATGAAAGTTATACATTTTGCACTCTGCCACTGACTAACAGAGATTGACTTAGTAGGTACACTTAGCACTTCCATTTATGATTCTAACCACATAAACAGAAATCAACCATTAACATGTATTCAGATATTAACTTTGGTTCAGCTATGGTTTAAAGGCATGCTGGGAGAATAAAATGCTAACTTACTATTCTGCTAAGACTTGTGCCCTTGGCTGGCCAATTACAACTGTGCATGTGTCGGTTAGCCTAGCTAAATGGAGAACAATAATACCCTGTAACTATATCAGCTAATATAGATACTTTTTAGAACTGCATAGCCAAAGCAGAAGCCTCTATTGTTTGTCTAAAAGGTAAAAAACCCTTTACTTGGGGAAATCCAACCCATAGGACTTAGGCCAATTAGAAATAGGTGACAAAGTTGTGACTAAGTTTTAATGGAACTAATAGTTATGCTTTATTTATTTGATGTCATATTGAGTATAAAATCCTATGTCACCCTTTGTAACACTGGAAGAGTCTGTTCGGTATTCAGGGGGTCCAGACCTTGATATCTGTACTCTTACTTTATTAATTAATAAATTTCTTAGTGTTTTCTCCTCTACAGGACTGAGTCGTGTGTTTCTCAAATTGGGCTGGGCAAACACAACTAGAGACACAGGTTGTGTCTAACAATGGCTATTACAAACAAACAGATTACTTTTGTCTAATATTGAACAAGTTAACCTCGTTCATCAGTTCTGTAATGTCCAGGCTTAGAGAGACTATCCTAAAGTACCTGAGTATAGAGAAAGGCAAATAAACAAATTCCACATCTCCCGGCCGTTCTCTTTATGTAAACGACCGATCGATCGGTTTTGATTGGCTGGCTCCCGCGTCTGACTTCCGCGCCCACTTCTCCGAAGGGGCATGTCCGGGAGCCGGAAGTGGCTTCCGCGCTGCTCCGGAAGCGGTTGGCAGGCGAGGGCAGCGGCATGGCTGCGGCTTTCAAGAAAGTCGCTAAGGCGGGCCAGCGCGAGCACCAAGAGCGAGCCCAGGTGAGGGGATTACGTCGTCGGGAGGTGCTTCCCGTTTGCATAGGGCGGAACGGACCTCCCGAAAGTGTGAACATCGCAGTGTGGAATAACGCATGTTCATATAGGCATGTGTGAAGCCGGGTGGGGCGGCGGGAGCGTGCTCCATTCTTGGAGTTCCGTCGTGGCCTCGGGAGTGGGAGCTTTTCTCCATTTTTCAGCGCCGGAGCTCCCGGTGCACAGAGCGTTTCTGGTGCGCTTTTCGGTGTTCTGGAAAGTTGCTTGTTCTGAGATGAAACAGCGACAACCTGATCATTTGCCCCTGGAAAAAAAATGCAGAGCGGCCTTCCTCTCCCTCTCCCCAGGCATAGGGAGGTCTCCCGGGGAGCTAAGCCGCCCTCCTCATGGGCTGTGTAAAGGGTGGGTCGCGCGAGCAGGAAAAGGTATGGGATGGCAGGGGAGGGGAGAGGCGAACGCCCCCACTGTTTGATCTATATGTAAAATTCTTTGTCCAAATAGAAAAGTAGTACTGGGGGTAGGGGCCTTCTCCTTCCTGGTTTTAATCGCAGACGTTGATAGAAGGAAGCCATTGCAAAGTGTGGATCCTCCAGTTCAAAGCAGTGTGTTTCATTCTGACATTTTGGGTATCTGCCCTATACCTGAACCAGGCCTGTGTCAGTCATCTGCATCATGAAGTTGGTGAGATCGTGGGCTGGTAGATGAAGGTGTCTGTAGGCACTCTTAAGCCTTCTATGTTGGCAAGTACTATTTAATAGTGAAGATCATTATATCTGTATTCGGACAGAAGTTGGGATTGGCATTCTCTGCAAAAAGCCCTGCAGTGTTTCCCAATATGCAAAAGATGCTCTTGAAACTTTATTTTGTATACTCAGTTATGGTATAAGCAGCATTGGTGTCCAGTACCACCTTAAAGGCCAACAAGATTTCCAGGGTATAAACTTTCAAGAGTCAAAGCTCTCTTCACCAGGTACTTGACGCAGGAATCTTTGACTTTCAAAAGCTTATACCCTGGAAAACTTGTTAGACTTCAAGGTGCTACTGGATGCCAGCCTTGCTCTGCTACTGAAGAACAACATTGCTACTTGCCTGAAACTATCAGTTATGGTATATTCATGATCAGTGGTTTGACAAGCTTGATTTGTATGCACATAGACTTCACTTGTTTAAAAAATGATCTTAGTCATTTTGGTGTCCTGGTGAAACTGTTTCCTGTTGCCGACTTGTCATTTATGTGTGTGTCCCCCCCCCAGCTTGCATCCCGGAAGCATCTGGGGATCCTTGAGAAGAAGAAAGATTACAAGATCCGTGCTGAGTAAGTCATTGCTACTTTCCAGGGCCCACCAGTGTGCATGTCTTGCAGCTTGAATCCTTTACTTCCATGTAGCTATGCCTTGTTGGAAACACAGTAAAGTCAAACTTATTGAGAAATGTCATGTTGTATGTACTGTGGCCAGATTTTAAGGCTCTGGGAAGGTGACAGTGCAGATCTTTGTTGAATTTTGTGGACCCTAAGGGGGAAGCTGCCACCATTGGGCTGTGCTCTTCTTTGCTGCTCCCTTCTAGGTTTTAGGAATGCCAAGGCAGCCTAAGCATTGAAATGGATTCTCACAGTGTTTTGAATGTTTTGTTGTGCCTGTCTGGAACTAAGTCTAAATATTAGTTGCTATGTTGGAGAGGCACAACACTATCTGTAAAATGACTTATTTTGTCATATGCTGTGTGTACAGCAGTGGTCAGCCACAAGTACCACCATTAAGTGAAAGTATAACTGTGCCTTGGAAAGAGTCTGTGGCTCAGTTGTAGAGCATCTGCTTGGCATGCAGAAGGCCCCAGGTTCAATCCCTGGCTTCTCCAGTTAAAGGACCAGGCAGTAGGTGATGTCTGCCTGAGATGTGGAGAGCTGCTGCCAGACTGGGGTAGACAGTACTAACTTTCATGGACCAAGGGTCTGATTCAGGGTAAGGCATCTTCATATGTTCTTCGTGTGTTCAGTTCCACTCCCCATCTTTGCGGAGGTCATTGTTACATAGAAAGGCTGTATTAATGCTGTGGTTTTGCCCTGCAGTGACTACCACAAGAAGCAGAATGTCCTCCAGGCGCTTCAGAGAAAGGCGCAGGCGAAGAACCCAGATGAGTTTTATTTCAAAATGACCCGTGTACAGCTTGAGGTAACAATCTGCTTTGGGGGGCACAGCACTGCATGGATGGGGCTTTGTTTCTTGCTGTTTTCACACATAAATGAGTGATTTGGTAGGCATACTGAACAGGCTGGAGTTTTGGGGAGCATTCCGTTTGTGCATGTGTTGGAGATGGATGCTTGTGGACTAGCTACTGCTGAAGCTCTCCTTTCTTGATGGAATGGTAATGAGAGATGCTGTTGCTTGGGCCCGAATCCCATGTTCCTGTTTATTGTTGGAGGGCTGGACAATCCATCCTCGTTTGAGTTTATTTTTTGGAACTTACTGGCCAGTCCTGAAGACGAACGTGCCATTGAGTCGCAATTTACTCATGGTGACCCTATCCGTGGGGTGTTCCAGGCAACAGACAAGCAGATGTTATCATTGCCTTCCTCTGCATAGCAACCCAGATCTTCCTAAGTGGCTTAACATCCAAATAAAAACTGTGGGAAACCCTGGTTAGCTTCCAAGCTCTGACAACTTAAACTAAGCTGGACTATTCAGGCTGTTAACCTGTCACAGTTAAACATCATTAGGCTAAGTACCTAGTGTAGGGTGAGAGGATTATGTGTGTTCACCTTTTCTTTGTATCCTTGCTCAGTCTGATACTTGTACAGACCACGTATGCTCTTCTTATATCAATGTATTAAACTTTCTTATTTTGAATGTTCGAAGCCTGATCTCTGTATGAACACTATGCCTATTGGTTCTTGCTATCCAAAGAGCAGAAAAGGGGAGGGGCAGTGGGTGAGCTCACCCTCCCTTGAGCGTAGTAGCTTGAAATTGCCAATGTGCAGTAGATCATCCCCAGGTTAGCTGATACGAATGAAGTGGGAGATGTGGTAAATAGCCAGAGCTTCTAAACTGCAGTGTGGATACAGAGAGCTGAATCTGCAAATCAGTCTAATAGGGGATGCTTTGATTTGGTGGTGGCAGCATTTACTATCCAAAGAGAAGTTTGATATCCCCTGGGAGTAAGGGACAAGGTGTCATATCTGAGCACACACTTGGGATGGCCATGGGGCTTTTCTGATCTCTCAGAACCAAAAGGGAACATGGCTTGTGAGTCTGTTCCTTCACAGGGCATTTATATAAAAAGATTAGTAGAATGAATAGCCCAGGAGATAATGGAATAGGATTGCAGTCTAGTGTGATGATAATTATAGGTATCTGCCTATTATGGCCCCGGTCACACGGCAGAGTTGCCGCGGGAGAGGCACGGATGGTGGGCAGATTATCCGGATGCAATCACACCCCAACATCTGGGAAGTAGAGTACACCTGTGGCTTACTGCCGAAAATGCGCATTAAAAAACTAGTACCTCCAAAGTACTAGTAAACGTTTGCCACGGGCTGCCTCCAGACTCCCGTGGTGTGATCGCGCCAGTGTGCGGCATTCCCCTCCGGTCCCTTGTTTACCTGCCGGCGCTGAGGGAAGGACCTGTGGTGTGCCGCCGGCGCGTCTGATCACGTAATTGTGGATCAAACTGCGCCGGGGCAATTAGCCACGCCTCCCCCCTACCGCGATATCTTGCCCGTGTGACCGGGGCCTGTATATTGTTTATAATGTCCATTGCCCTTAGGTAGTAGTTTGTATTGTTCTCTAATTCTGCAGTCTTAGTCCTGTTGCTTTGTTCATTGTTTGTCTTCTGCTGTCTGGTTGCACTGTTTATATCTGGTAATTAGCGGAGATTGAACATCCTTGTCCATCCTTGTCCATCTGCAAACAGTTCATCCAACAGAACTCTCTCTGTCGCAAAACTAGGCATGACAGTGTCAAAAGAAGTGTAATTCAGGTGTGACTGTAGCAGCTCTCACATGAGTTGCTCGCTTTGCTCAAAGAAGGCAGGTTGAAACTGGTTTATAATCAGTCAGTTCATTTGTAGGGCTTCCCCACCCCTCAAATAGTAGCCTAATCACTATCTCCAGGGAACTTGGAAGTTTATTATATTAGGAAATTGATATGGTGCCTTTCCAGGGACTTGCTTGAAGCAACTATGTCCTTTTGGCAAAAGGTAGATGAAGGATCCTAGGCAGAGGAACCTGATCTTATCCTGGCACAATATAAGAAGCTAGGAAGGGCAAGGCCTTTGCGGCCTCCAGTACCCTATCTGGGAGAAAACTTGGAAAAGCATCTGTACAATTCTTGCAAATGAATGCTTCTGAGACCTCCAGAAAAGAAACTGTCAAATCCAGCATGTAAGAAATGAGAGAGATCCCAGTCAGTGTTTGAGGCTCTGGCCAGGAGCTCCAGGTTTGCAAAAATCCCACGAAAACAATATGCAAGATCCAGGTTTGCTTACAAGTAGATTTTAATAAGCAGTGATCAAGCTTACAGAAATAGCAGGCTAAGCTTCCATCCACTGGGTCTCGAACACACACACAGTGAAACTTGGCCAGACCTCGAGACAAGATGCATAGCTAAAACTAAGCATCTTATACCCTAATTGCTGGCAACGTCAAGAAATCATTAATCAAGCTATTCCAGACTCTGAGATGAGCCAGGCCGTCTTGCACCTGGCGTCTAGTGGTGAGAGGAAACAAATCAGGCTTTGAAGATAAGAGCTGCTAACAAGCATGAGAGGACTATTCTCTTGGGAGTGACCAGCCTGTAACAAAGATGGAGTTACCAATGCTGTACAGTCAGCAAAGTGCTTGGGAACTGTGCTGCAGCCATCATCCCCATCTTCTAGGTCAGCAGATCCTAACCTTTTCTATATGTTGACCCACAAGTCCAAATTTACTTGTTATGGTAACCTGTCCAAAGCTGGCTTAAGGGTTTTTGGCGCCCTTGGCAAACGATGACCTTGGCACCCATCTAGCTCAGCATCCCGTTTTCTACAGTGGCTAAACAGATGTTTTGGAGAAACCAACAAACATTGCACAAAGGGTGCAGCTGCCCCCACCACAAACCCCAAGCAAGTAGCATTCCAAAGTGTGCAGCCTTTGGAGGATACATTCCAGCCTTTGACCACCCTCTCCTTCTCTGTCACTCCCTCTAATCCCCCCTAAGACTCTTAAGAACCTCACTCTAGTAACCATCAGGACACATTTTACATGATCAACATGTACATGCAGTGAAGAAAACAAATACCAACTGATGTATGACATGCAAGATACTGTTAACATGGTCACATTTGGGTTTCCAAAATACAGAAGAAAGCAATGAAAAAGGCAGAGCCAGCCATTAGAGGGGACTGGCCCACAACCCACTTTTGGGTCCTGACCCACAGGTTTGGAAACACTGTTCTAGGTGTTAAAAGACTCCAGATTACTCTGAGTGATTTCACTGGATGAGGTTCTGATACAACAAAGTTGGTGGAGACTTTCTTGCTGTCACCACCAACTCAGAGGCTTTCAGCAATATCTCCCAACTCACTTCACTTATCAACATTCAACCATGATCTGTGGAGTCTTATTTATAGTCTCCCTTTGTTTGCTGAGACTCAAGGTGGATTACAGCTGGACTGGGATAGCTGGGGCCATCCAGGGCCTTTGCTCATTATGCTTTTAATGGCCATTATGCAAGCTGCCCCCGTCTTTAGGAAAGGTGGGAAAAACGTTAAATCAAATAAAAATACATTTTACAAGTAAGCCCTGGCACTGTTTCCTTCACTGCGCTCAGTGCATGTTTTCACTTCCTGACAGGATGGAGTTCATGTGATTAAGCAGCAGGAAGAAGAAAGGACACTGGAACAGCAGAAGCTGATGAAGACGCAGGATTTGAAATACATTGAGATGAAGCGAGTAGCTGAAGCGAAGGTCAGAGCACATTATTTTGGCCCGTAGCTTTTCCCACAGTCATTGTCTGGTCTGCTGAATAGCTTGTGGCATGCTGTCCCATGGCCCCTTGTTATTAGATGGCCTTCCCCTTTTAAAGCAGCACGATGCTTCTAGCTATCAGGAATGCGGGCTTTTTTTGGCTCTCTCATAACAAAACAGGCTCCAGGTTTATAATTTTTCTGCCTTGCTGGCTTGGCAGCTAAAGGGGAGTGCTTTGGGAGCTCTTTAGCATCATGTTTTGGGAGTGCATGGCTGTAAAGCAACCTTTGTAAGCATTTTTGGTATAAATTAACTGTGGGCAGCTTTATTCTTGTATATTTTAAGGACATAAGAGAAGCCATGTTGGATCAGGTCAGTCACCCATCCAGTCCAACACTCTGTCACACAATGGCCAAAACCCAGGTGCCATCAGGAGGTCCATCAGCAGGGCCAGAACTCCAGAAGCCCACCCCAAGCACCAGGAATATCGAGCATCACTGCCCCAGACATAGTGTTCCATCTATACCTTGTGGCTAAAGGCCACTGATGGACTCCTGCTCCATATGTTTATCCAATACCCTCTTCTTTTTTAATACATTGTATTTAAACATTTTAAGGGGATATAGAAAGAAAAAAGGGAATAGGGAAGAACTGATAAGAATTATAATTACCAAAAACACAATGTAAGGGTAATTTTACAGATATTGAGGACATTCCTTGATCAGAATACACGTGTATATATAAAATATATATGGCATAATAGTGTATCAAAAATATATAACATAATATATATGATGTTATGGCATAAGAATATAACTTTAAAATATATATGACATAATAACTTAAATATCCAGTCCCCTCTTGAAGCTGTCTATGCTTGTAGCCGCTATCAATTCCTGAAGCAGTGAATTCCACTTCCTCTGTGTTGTGGCTGCTGTCTTCCTCAGCAGTCTCCTATCCGAGTACTAACCAGGGCTGACCCTGCTTGGCTTCCAAGACTGATGAGATTGGGCTAGGCTGGTATATCGGGCTGATTGCTTTTATAATTACTCAGATTTAAAAATGGGGGGTTATCAAGTGAAGCACTGCATGATGATATTGGAAAGGAGATCAAAATGTGTTCTTGGCACATTGTTCAGACAAAATCTTGAACAAGACGATGATGAAAAGGAAGCTTCCATTTCCCCTCTATTTCCACTGGATCACTGGGATCTGTCACAGCCAGGGGCAAATAAGTTGTTGAGGTGTACCCAGTTCAGTTGCTCTGAGTCTGATAGATTGAGTTTGGGGAAATAACATGTCTTTGTTTAGTGGTTGATTGTGTGTGGGCAGGAATCATCCCCCAGGTCAGAGGGGTTGTGGTCATGTGGGTTTCTTTGTATGACCAGACTTGCTCATGACAGAGCCCTTTTGAGTTTTGCCCTATCGGCAATTATTTGCAGTGATCTTGTTCTGCACTTGTGGTGGCACTCTGCAGCCAGGATTGCAGGAATCTGCTGAGGACCGTGGATGGCCATGCCTCTGGCCAGGAGACTCCTCCTGGAACGCCTCTGGGCCACTTCCATGTCTTGCAGCCTCTTGTTCTGTTGCTGGTTCACAGCAAAATCTAAAGGTTTGAATCCTTTCTGTGTCTCAGAAAATAGAAAGGCTGAAATCAGAGCTCCATCTTCTGGAAGCTGAGGGAAAGCAGCCCAACAAGCACACATTCTTTTTTGACTCGAAGAAAGAAGGTAAGGGTTTTGTTGGTCAAAGAGGAGAGAAGTGTGTCTGTCCATCTTTCTGTCTTTCAAATAAAGTCTTTTTCTGACTGCACTCAAAAGCGGTAGAGATAGGGGCCATGTGTGGGCAAGAGATGATAAAAGCACTCCAGCTTGTTCATCTGTGTTACTAAATATGAGTTTTGTGTTTGTGTTGAACTACGTTCCTGTGCCACCTTTGTGAAAACAAAGGCTTCTTTTCCCCCCACCCCAGTGCAAAGTTTTGACCCTGTCACCCACCTGAACACGGTCCCAGAGCTGATGGGAAGAGTGTACAACCGACCAACCCTTGAAACTCTGCAGAAGAAAAGCATCCTGGGAACCACTCATCCTGATCAATTACAGGCATGTATAGCTGCTCTTTTTGAAGTCATGCTTCATTAACACCCCCCCCCCCAGCTTTCTGTTTGCTAGATGGATTCTGTGATAGCTGTCACTATGTAGAAGAGAGAAGAAGAAGAAGAGATTGGATTTATACCCTGCCCTTCACTACCCAAAGGTGTCTCAGAGCGGCTTACAAACTCCTTTCCCTTCCCTTCCCTTCCCCTCCCCACAACAGGCACCCTGTGAGGTAGGTGGGGCTGAGAGAGCTCTTGACAGAAACTGATCTTTTTCAAGAACAGCTCTTATCAGAACTACGGCTTGCCCAAGGTAATCCAGCCAGGTGCAAGTGGAGGAGTGGGGAATCAAACCTGGTTCTCCCAGATTAGAGTCTGTGCACTTAACCACCACACCAGACTGGCTCTTTGTAAAACTCTTTGCACGATACAAGCAGAGGTGGCTTGCCACTGCCTTCCTCTGCATAGCAACCTTGGTGGTCTCCCATCCAAGTACTGACCATGGCCCACCCTACATAGCTCCCAATTTCTGACAAGCTCCAGCTAGTCTGGGCTATTTAAAAAGGTAAAGGTTCCCTTGCTCGAAAGTCAGTCGAATCCGACTCTAGGGTTGCGGTGCTCATCTCCGTTTCAAAGCCGAAGAGCCAGCGCTGTCCAAAGACATTTCTGTGGTCATGTGGCCGGCATGACTAAACCCCAAGGCGCACGGAACGCTGTTACCTTCCCACTGAAGTGGTACCTATTTATCTACTTGCAATTTCTTGCTTTCGAACTGCTAGGTTGGCAGGACCTGGAACTAGAGACAGGCGCTAACTCCGTAATGCGGCACCCGGGTCTCGAACTGCTGAACTACCGACCTTCCGCAGCCTGCAGTTTAGCGTCTTAACCACTTGAGCCACCGCAGCTCTCTGGGCTATTTAGGCTGCTACAGATTCTGTCTTGAGATGCGGAGAAGAAACTACTGTGTTCTTAGCATCATCTGAGATGCTTGAGTGGAGTGCTTTTTTCTTCCCTCAGACATAAGGTTAGCAAGCTAGTATGCACAGGATAGTGATCAGAGAAATCCTCTCAAGGAATCCTCGTTCCAGGTATCTGCTGCCACCCCGATGGATTATAATATAATACTCGGGCTGATACAAGGCCCGAAGCTAGTATAGGTTGGGAGATGGGACAGAGAAGCCAAAGCCCTTATTCAGAATTAGGCTCTTCACTGCTTGATATCTTCCCCTCTTCACATGCAAAAGCTCTGATGGGTGAGGCTGAATGTCAAGGCAGTGTGGGCAGGCTGGAGGACTGACCGCTGTGTCTCTAAATCAGATGTACGTACGTGCTGTCAAGTTGCAACTAACTCACAGCAACCCCAGAAAGGAGCTTTCAAAGCAAGTGAGAAGCAGAGGTGGTTTACCATTGCCTTCCTCTGCAGAGCCTTCCTCGGTGGTCTCCCATCCAAGTAAAAACCTCTTTTAGCTTCTGAAATTTGACAAGATCAGGCTGCAGCATGCTGCCCTCTCATGGCGGGAAGAAAATTTGGGTCAAAGAGCAGGAATTACCTTGAACTAAGCCAGGCAGTATGGGTTGAGCAATCTTAAACTGAGAAATGTCCACAAACGCAGAGACTGCTGTAGATCTTCTAAGTCTCCCCCACCCCCACGCCCCTTGCTGGCTGCCTGCTGAAGCAGCTGGGCCACTTCAGACTGGTAGAATTTCTCCTCTTCCAGGAGACTTGAGTCATCTTCTCCAGACGGCTTGCAAGTTTGGATCCATCCTGTTCGATAGTGCCAATTAGCTCACACCTGCTGTGACCTGACTTGCTCAGTGAAGCTTGCTGGGGTTTGGCGGCCTGGGGCCTGGGTGCTGTGGGAATAGGCAACCTGTTCCCCGGGGCTGGCGTTTGGCCAAGGGGAGAGGCCTGAACGTCCTCTGCACCTGCTCCGCTTCAGCAGCGACACCCCCCCCCCCAATGCATTCCCGGTTGGCCTCCCCATATTTTCCATCTTAATGTAGCCACTCTGCTGGGCCTGTCAGCATGAATCATTCTGGAGGGGCGGTTTTCAGTAGTTCAGGTACCTGGGGGAACTCCCCATCTCCAGGGAGTCTGTGACTTCTCTCTAGAGCCTGCCAGCAGAAGAATAGCTTTAAAGGGGGAATTAGATGGATTTATGGAGGGGAGGTCTATTTATTTATTTGATTTATATCCCGCCCTCCCTGCCAAAGCAGGCTCAGGGCGGCTTACAAACGTAACATAAAAACATAACATAAAAACAGTTGTCACATAGCTAAGACCATCTGAAAACAAATCAAAACATAAAGTGCTAGCTGGTTGTAAGCTAATACATTAGTGGCTTCTGCTAGCCATGGTGACTAAAGAGAACATCCACATTCTGAGGAGGTAAGCCTCTGAATCCTATTGCCAAGAGGCGACATCAGGGGGAAGTCCTCTATGCCCTGTTGTTGGCCCTCCATAGTAACTGGGTAGCTGCCGTGGGAGAGCGAATACTAGACTAGATGGGCCACTGGTCTGATCCAGCAGGGCCCATGTTATGAGTCTGTGCCTTCCCTCTAAAGCTTACCTACAGAAGAACAGCTTTGTTTTTTTATAATAGATTTTTATTGATTTTCCAAAAATGCAAATGAAATGAGAGTAATATCTTGTGATACATTCAGATTAAATCTCTCCCTTAAAACTTACAACAGAAAGTTTAACTAATAACCTAATAATATTTGCCGCTAGAAGTATCAGACAATACATATATTATTTCATTTAGAAATTATCTAAACATTCTAATATTAGTATCATTTAGTAATATAGATTCAAAGGCTCTTACTATAAAGTTTCAGATTTTCTTAATCTTTTCTTATCTTTAATAAAATCCTTCCCCTCCTATTTTTCCTTACAGGTTCAACTTTCCCTGTAAAACAGATCTGTTTTACAGAAGTACAGCTTTAGAAGGGGATTAGCCAGACTCATGGAGGAGAGGTCCATCAGAGGCTGCTAGCCATGATAACTAAAGAAGACCTCCACATCTGAAGTCATTCAGCCTCAGAGGGCCAGTGTTAGGAGGCAGCATGAGGGCCTTGGCCTCTATGCCCTGTTGTTGGCCCTCCAGGGGAACTGGTTGGCCGCTGTGTGAGACAGGAGGCTGGATGAGATGGGGCACTGGTCTGATCCAGCAGGGCCCTTCTTATGTTCTTATGAGCCTGTGACTTCCCTTCAGAGCCCGGCTGCGGAAGAATACTTGGGCAAATGCCAGTACTGGCTCAGCTGAAGTTTAGATGCAGGAAAGCTGTGCCTAAAGCCCTCAGAGCGGCACACTAAGAACTCTTGCCCACCACAGGTCCCAAGCTAACAGACAGATCAATGTCTCCCTGTATGTCGCCAGCCTGGGAACAACATCCACAGGGCTTGCCTCTATAATTATCTCTGTTAAAAGATAACTATTGCCTCTATAACTATCTCTGTTAAACTATCTCTGCATCTTTTTTGTTTCTAGAAATTGGCCCAACAGAGGAAGGGCCAGTATAACCTGCTGATGCAACGCATAGAAAGGGAGCGGAAGTTGTTCGTTATCGCCCAGAAGCTCCAGACCCGGAAAGACCTCTTGGTGAGAGGGCCTAGCTCTGTCCTCCTTCCTCACTTCTGCCCTTCAGTCTTCAAAGGGGTCTGAAGGCTCAGGAAGGGTGACTTTCCCCAGCATAGGCTGTGTTGAGTGCAGCGTCTGCTCCGGGTAGCCTTATTAGTGGGCCTGGAATTGAGTCTAGGAGCACCTTAAAGCCTTAAAGCCCATCAAGATTTCTAGGGTATAAGCTTTCTGAGTCAAAGCCCCCTTTGTCACGTCTGACTCTTGAAAGCCTGTACACTTGGAGATCTTTCCAGGTGAGTAGCTGTGTTGGTCTGAAGCAGTAGAATAAAGTTTTGAGTCCAGTGACACCTTTAAGACCAACAAAGTTTTCTTCAAGGAATGAACTTTTGTGTGCACACACACTTCCTCAGATACAGTGAAACAGAATTTCTCAGCCATTACATATAGAAAGAGAGAGGGTGGGTGGAAGGGCCAGTGAGAGTCAAGACAGAGCAGAAACAAAATTGGAAATTACCAATCCGTACATATTTATTTATTTATTTATTTTGTTACATTTTTATCCCACCCACCCCGTGAACGGGCTCAGGACGGCTTACATTCATTGGCACAAGGTACCATAACCATTTGTTTGGGTTCAATCCTGGGGCAAAAACAGTGAAGGAGATAACATCAGCCAATATGATAATACCCCTATGTAAATCAATGGTGCAACCTCATTTGGAATACTGTGTGCAGTTCTGGTCACCACACCTTAAAAAGGATATTATAGCTTTGGAAAAAGTGCAGAAAAGGGCAACTCGAATGATAAAAGGGTTGGAACATTTTCCCTATGAGGAAAGGTTAAAGCGCTTAGGGCTCTTTAGCTGGAAGAAACAACGACTGAAGGGAGACATGATTGAGGTTTATAGGATTATGCATGGGATAGAGCAGGTAGAGAAAGAGGTACTTTTCTCCCTTTCTCACAATACAAGAACTCGTGGGCACTCCATGAAATTGCTGAGCGGTCGGGTTAGAACAGATAAAAGGAAGTACTTCTTCACCCAAAGAGTGATTAACACATGGAATTCACTGCCACAGGAAGTGGGATGGCTTCTAATGTCCTGGCCCCACTGGTGGACCTCTTGATGGCACTGCTATTTCTGGCCACTGTGTGACACAGAGTGTTGGACTGGATGGGCCTTTGGCCTGATCCAACATTGGTGTCTCTTATGTTCTCTTATGTTCTTAAATATGTCAAAATTGGAGACCAGTGTATCTATAATTGTAGAATGCTGAGAGTAATTAATAGATTAATGGTTACCATATAAACTAAGCTTATTCATGTTTGATCCTTGTATCTTTTAAACATTTTCATTATGCTGTATGATAATTTACTACTTATCCTCTACCTATATGTAGGACTGGTAATTTCCAGTTTTGTTTCTGTCTTTCTCTTGACTGTAATTGGCCCTTCCTGGCAACTAACCCCCCGCCCCCACCCTCTCTCTCTCTCTCTGTAATGGCTGAGTAAATTCTGTTTCACTGTGTCTGAAGAAGTGTGCATGCACACAAAAGCTTATATTTTGAATAAAACCTTGTTGGTCTTAAAGGTGCCCCTGGACTCAAACTTTGTTCTACTGGAGACCTTGTTGGTCTTTAAGATGCTCCTGGACACAAATCTTCTCCTGCAGGCCAACACAGCTGCCCACCTGAAACTATTAGTGGGCCTGTGATTAAAGGGGATGAGGTGGGGCTGCTTTGGGAGATGGCAGATTATCCTATTTCTCCCCCGGGGAAGGCTGGTCCGTAGCCTCTGGCTTCACACTGGTGTTTGGAGAAGAGGGGAGGGGATGAAGCCCACCACGTTCTGTTGGAGAAGCTGGATGTGGATCATGTGACCCCTCCTGTCGTCCTCTGTCAGCATGCCTTAATTCTTCTCCAAGGGTGTGTTGGTTTTAAGAAGGTTCATTTTTTCCTCTCGCCTTTTAGGACAAAACTAAGAAAGTGAAGATGAAGAAAGAAACAGTAAACCGGGCTGCCGTTTACAAATTCCAGTTCAGACGGAAACGCTGACCGCACTGTACCATTGAAGTGTGAAGGATGTGGCTGCTGGTGGTCAAAGGCTTAGAGAAGGGCCTCTCCCCAGATGGGTTAAAGAGAGAGATTTCTGTTCATTTGTCTGCTTCTTGGTGTCAACATCACCCCGTCATAACCACTTTTTCAATAAACCCCAACATGATTCATTCTAATGCTGCTGATTTCAGGCAGTGCATTGAAAAGACCAGTCATTTCAGCCAGACCTATTGCCCACGTGACCTCCAGCAGTTAGAAAAGGTCACCTCTGCATATGGCTTCCCATTTTGAATGTTCACAAGTCTTGGCTGAATAAAGGGAAAAATGACTCGAGTGCAAACAGCCTGCAACGAATGTGTAGCTGCCCTGGCCTGAGAACACACACACATGTGTGGTCACAAATGAAGCTGCCGTATACTGAATCAGATCATTGGTCCATCAAGGTCAGTAGTGTCTACCGGCTCTGGCTCTCCAGGGACTCAGGTGGAGGTCTTTTAACATCATCTGCTTGCTCAGTCCTTTTAACTGGAGATGATGGGGATTGAACCTGGAGCCTTCTGCATGCAAAGCAGATGCTCTTTCCTTGAAACACAGCCTTTCCTCAAAAGTTGTCATTTGGTCAACAGTGGGTACCCAGCTGGTTTCTGGCTGAGTGCTGCTACCCAGAGATGTTGACTTGAAAGGAGAAAGCAAAAAGGAGGGGGGTTCTAGCTATTTTCCTTTAGGGCACCAGGAAATGTGGGAGCTGGGTTTGGAGCTGTCCTTCCCCCTGTTCAGAGAAAGCCTTCTCCGCAAAGGGGAGGGACGGTGCTGCTGCCTTCTCTTGCGATCTGGATGTTATTCCTCTGTTGATACACCCCAAGATCACATTAGCCTTTTTTGTCTCTGCTGGCAAGTGCTCGTGAGTGTTTCTCTTCCAAAGAGATCAATCTGCTAGTCTTGTACCCTCTGCCTAGTTAAGGTGTGTTCATTGATGGGACAGGCAGGAAGGTTTCCTGAAGAGTGAGTGGAACTGGCATTTCCACATAAACAGTTATCTGGCTCAGTCCGGCTTCTGACACTTGACGATTGGGCTGACTCAGCTGAGGTTTGCCCTGTCTCCCCAACCCTCAAGCGGCAACTGTGGAGGCTTGTATTGAGGGCCCAGCAGGGGGCAGTGCTGCTCCATGGCTGGCTGGCTGTGGAGCCTGGTGCTGAGCAGGACATTCCAGCCACAGCAGGCAAAAAAGCACAAACGTGGCTGTTTGAAAACTTGGGCCACCGGTGGAGTTTCCAGGCTCCCTTCTGAACAACAATACCTTAGAGGAGACCAGTATTTCTTGCCAGAGCTGCCTTTTCTGGCTGGGCACAGACCAACGATTTCATCTCTTGCCCATCCGAAGCTTTGGTCACTGGAGAATTGGGACACTGGTTGTCGCATAGTTTTACTGATGTTATTGTATATCCTTGCCATGTGTGAAAGCAGCCCATGGGGAGGTCTTGGTGCTGCTTTGGAGGGGCAGGTGGCATCATTCTGGCCACTTCCTCCTCTTGGATGCTTCCTGCCACTTTGTGTCTCTCTTTAGGCTGCTTGGAAGGTTTCTGCCTCACATGTGCTTCCTTGCACAACAGGTCCGTGAAGTGCCGCGTACACTTCCCACCACTCAGTGTGTGCTGACCCCTTCCTAGCACCATGTGTTGGGGGTAAGCAGTTCAGGATGGCCTACATGTATGGGCTGGAATGTTGAAATGTGCTCTCCTCTTGTCACTTTAAATGAAGGGGGGGGGGTCAGCCCCTTTTAGGCTTAGTGCCCCCAAAGCTTCCTTGGCATTCAGCGGACCTTGGTAGCAAAGCAGGTCAACATTCCTGATCTTGAAGTAGGGGAAATGGAGGGACCTCCTCATGATAACTGAATTAGAAAACTATACTGAATCAGACCCTTGGTCCATCAAGATCAGTATTGTCTACTCAGAGTGGCAGCAGCTCTCCAGGGTCTCAGGTAGAGGCCTGTCACATCGCCTCCCGCCTGGTCTTTTTTAAGTGGAGATGCCGGGGGATTGAACCTGGGGCTTTCTGCATGCCCAGCAGAGGCTCTTCCACTCAGCCACAGCCCATAGATTGGGTTTGGTGCAGCACCTCCAGCGGGCACTGAATGAGAATGTGTTAATGCCCACCTGCAGGGTGGAGGCAGCGTCCTTGCTGGGCAGCTGTCGGAGACGGTTCCTGAATCCAGGTATGTCTACCACCCGACCTTTGCCAGCAGAGTGGCCTGGAAATCAGGCCCTCCTTGGACTTCTGCTGTGAGATGCATGTAAATATTGCTGTTCCCCAAGATTGCTCTTCAGCGCCTTTGATTCTTCAAGGGAGAACAAGGAGTGGGGCTTCCATTAAAAATGTGCAAGTTAAAATTATTTTTATAAAGCATGTGTAGTCAATCAGTATAACCAGTTTGTAGGGCATAATCAAATCAGCTGATGCTGTACCCAAAGGGCAAACATGCAGATTCACCACATAATTAAAGTCCTGCCTGAACAGAACCCTGTTGTGGCCTGTAAGCTAAAGAACCTAGGCATTAGGTGAACAGCTGGCCTTATCCCAGGTGGGCCCCTGCCTTTTCTCTGTTGGTGGTAGGGTCACTTGAATCAGGGCTTCTGCTGAAGATCGTGGCTCCCAGTTTAAGAGAAAGTGCTTCCTCAAACCACTAGTCCCCGACCTTTTAGGGTTCTCTTCTGCGTTCCTTGAAAGCTGCAGGGTATCTTGATCATGGAAACTATAAAGCTGTTGTCTCCTCTGAGATGACTCTGTGTGTAAAGTGCTGTCAAGTTGCAGCTGACTTCTGGTGACCCCAGTAAAGGGCTTTCGAGGCAACTGAGAAGCAGAGATGGTTTGCTATTGCCTTCCTCTGCAGACCCCTCCAAGTACTGACCCTGCTTAGCTTCTGAAATCTGATGAGATGAGGCTATACCATGCCACCTTTTCGCACATGGGACAACTCTGCACCACCATCAACTGCTGTGCAAAGCCTCAAGCTGGATCAGGGAGATCCCTCACTGCCGGACCCATCTGTATGCCCCAAGCCTGGTGCAGAGTTCAGAGTAGAGGAATAAGGCGGGGTCTCTGAGGCTCCCAGGGGATAATTACAGCGAAACGGACTGACGAGGCAGGTTCTGGAGCCAGGGGCTGCTGGGTGGTGGTGCTACAGTCCAGACTGGGATGGGGGTGAGGCTGCTAGCTCCCACCTGGGAAATTCTGAGGGTTGGGGGATGGAGCCTGTGGAGGAGTGCATTTGGAAGGTGTGATTTCACCTACATTCTGGTATATCAGAGTCCAAGCTCCAAAGCAGTCACTTTCTTAAGGGGAACTGATGTTTGGAGATCAATTGTAATTCCAGAACCCCAGGCTCCACCTAGAGGATGGCATCCCCCACGTCTAGGGGGCTCACCCTCATAGATTTCCCCCCACCCCTGGCTATATATTCCCTTCTATTTTGATGCTACAAAAACTATAGTGGATTGATAAATCTACATGGTCCGATTTCCCCCAAAAAACCTATAGTGCCAGTTATATAAGTTACTGAGGCTTACAAAGAAGCTGGTGTGGGATATATTTTTTTACATGATCACGTTCCCCTCCCAAGAGCTTTACTGTACTTCCTTCTCCAGCTCACTCAGATGGGGGAAGCCACTCAGGGACCTCAGAAATTTCCAGGGGTCTCTCAGGCATCTTGTTCCACTACCACCAAGAATGTGGCATGTGCTCAGCTAGGATGGGTCTGAAGGCTCAGGTAGGGTTGCCAGGACTTTCCTGGCCACCAGCAGGGGATGGGGGAAGTTGGGTTGCCAGGCCCAGGTTGGGAAACTCCTGGAGATCCGGGGGTGGAACCTGGGGAGGACAGGGACCTTAGGGGGGTACAATGCAACATGTCCATCCTCCAAAGCATCCATTTTTTCCAGGGGAACTGATCACTGCAGTCTGGAGATGAGCTGTAATTCAGGGGGATCCCCGGGTCCCATCTGGAGGCTGGCATCTCTAGGCTGTTCCTCCTTCCAAGTGTCTCCTAAACAGCAAGGCAAAGGGCAGTTTCTCCAGCTGGCTTCCAGTATCCACATCTGAATTGTTCTCCTAACCCAGCTGGCCAAAGGCCAGCTAGAAAGACTAATGTGCAAACTTTTGTGTCCCTGGGGAAGAAATTTTGGCTTTGCCTCTGAGTGATCACAGAGTGCAAATCAAATGCTTACTTTGTACGGCTATAATTTTTGCAGATACCAAAGGGGTGACATTTCGTTTCATCACAGAAGATGGTAAGAGTTCGACTAAGGGAAAGGGTTTCTTCAAGCATATGCTGAGATGCAGTAGTGGCAGTACCCACCCAGCATTGTGCTGGTGGAACTGGTATGCTGGCACACACCGGGGCAGCATCAGGGGTACGGAGCAGAAATTAGTTAGCTTGTTTTTGTTTTGTATTTTGTGTGTGTGCACACACACACCTGGAAGTCATGACGACCTCAGGGAACTGACCCCTACTGGAGGCCTAGAGGATTTTCAGAGAGGTGGCTGAATAAAGCCTGCCTCCCGACTGCTGGTATATCAAGGAGGTCTCCCATCCAAGTACCTGCCAGAGTCGACCCTGCTTAATTTCTGAGATCTGATGGGATCGGGCTTGCCTGGGCTATCCCGGTCAGGGATTAGTTGGCTTCTTAATGCTCTTGCATATGTCCCTGAGACTGGTGAAGTCTGCTGACATAGTTCAGGTAAATCCCATGGAGGGCCCATGCAAAGAAAAATGCTGGCTCCCTCCATACCTGCCCCTCCATACACAGCACAGCTTAGAATGGCAGTCACATCCTTCCATAGCCACCAGTCCCAGCCCCTCCACCCAACACTAGGTAACTCCCCAGCTCAGATAACAGAACACCGAGCATGGGGGCTAGATCTCTCTGCTCCATGTGGGCAGGCTTAGAGTGCACAGTCTGGCATGCTGGTGGTGAAAACTGCACCTCAAGGACAATATTTAGAACTGTTTTTTTAAAAAAAACATCCAAGGGAGAAAATGAGCATTGTTGCATTTGCCCAACACTCCCCTGCAATGCTGCCTTTACGCTGTGCAGTCTTGTGAGCAAAAACTCTTCTTTGTGATCTACTGGCATTCAAGTTGTGAGCGAAAAATTTGGCTACTGCATAAATTAGTTTGCTCTGGAGCCATCCTTCCTGAGCGAAGGCAAAAATGTGTGAACCAGAGGCTAAAAAACTGAGCCAGCTCACACTAA